AAATTCAGCATCTTAACTTGCCACCAAATGGTAATATGTGATATATTGAAATCAGAAGCAGATGTCGATGCAAAATCTTTCCCTCAGCATATTATATAACTGCATTTCTTTTTTTTACTAGGATCTTTGCATCAAAGATGCAGGATGCATTTTTAAAATGGTTACTCAGGAGAATATACTGTAAACGGTCCCACTTATTTAATTATACAACATCTCATTTTTCATCTATTGTATGCAATTCCCTTTATGGTCTTTTCTTACCTTTATTTTCAGATTCTTTCATTCTCCTCTTCCTCCTCTTGCTGCAGATCAGCAGGAAGCCCAGCTGATTTGCGAAATGCTGACTTTTGATTTGTCATTCACGGCCAGTCATAGGTCATGGAGGGTATGTCCATCAAGCCAGGGCACTGATGTGTGATAATTGTATGCAACTGTGTATGGTATTGGGTTATAGTTAGAATTATACAGAATCAGGAAAAGATGAGTATGTAAGCAGACATAACACATTTTCTAAAACGTGGCATGGAGTAGGATCTGGAGTCAAAGGATTTTCCCTTAATTCAATTCTGAATCAAGTTTCATTTAAAAAAAAAAATCTAAATCCTTTGGAAAAAATCAGTGATAAAGGAGCATGTAGGCAAAACAGCATCCAAAAGGTGTTCTTTGAGGAGAACCTTGAAATCAGAAGGCATCTAATCAACAAGTGAGATGGATTAGAAATACAGATATATTCGTTTCTCTGTTTTGTCATTCCCCTGGGGAATACACTTGTGTCTACAGATCATAACAATTCTAATCCCTTCTTGCATTAAACAATCAGTGTAAATCCAAAAAAATATTATGGAGTAAAGGAGAGTATATTGTGGTGGACTTGAAGCATGACCCATGTTTTGTGGATCTATAAATGCCCTAGCTAATTATTAGTATAACTTGGTTACTATTCATCCCATCATCCTGATCACAGTGCACCTATGGCTGCAGCAGGATTACGAGCTATGCATTCTGTTTCTTCTAAGCATGATGTTTTCAAACTAGTTCCAGTGATAGTTTTACCTATCCTTAAAGGTGCTTATCTGGCCCTTATTACCACAGTATCTGAGCAGCTCACATCTTTAATGTATTTATCCCCCCTCACCAACACCCTTGGGAGATAAGGAAGTGCTATTATCCCCATTGTACAGAACTGAGGCAGAGACACTAAGGCACTTGCACAATGGCACACAGAAAGTCTCTGATAGAGAAGAGAGCTGAATCAAGCTCTCCCAGGCTAGTACCCTGACCACTGAATAATCTTGCCCTCATTCTGCCATCACAACACTGTCCGACTCAGAGCATGAGGAAGCCATCTGTAAAATAAATGTATTTTCATCGCAATTTTCTGCCCCACTCACAATTCATCCAGGTTACAAAGTCAGTGGGGGGGGGGAGCACTTCAAGGTGCGTCGTAGCAGTGCTTATCCAGGTAGCGTTCCTGAAAGCAGCAGCAGTGGAATCCACAAGTCATGGAACAGCCCACAATCTATGGAACAGAAGCCTCAAAAAACCTGCGTTTTCCCCAGTTCCTTGTGGCGACAACCAGCTTTAGTTAAATAGCATATGGGTAACAAATACATTTTGTAGGACTCTGACTAAGATTAGCCTAGAAGTATCACTAGGAAGCACTCTTCAAAATAAAACTTTAGAAGACTCTTATTCAGTTTTGATAATAGATTTTTTCTTTTTTTAAGATTCATTTCATAGTTATTTTTTTAAATGTCTGATTATCTATACTGGTACCTAAGGCTTTGTGATTGTCACTCCAACTTGCAACTGTACAGTGGCAGAGTATATAAAATCTGGACCACCTGCTCCAAAAGTACAACCACTCTTGCTTGCACCATGGGGAATCTTCTTTACCTTTTGGCAGTATCAGGCCTATGACACACAGCTGAGAAATTTGGAGTCCATCCATTACAGGATACACATACACCAGCCAGATTATGATTCATAAGAACAAAGTCCCAGTATATTTGCCAGGGTTAGATAGGGAATGTACATCATTATATGTGGGGGGGTTTCAGATATAGCCCGTCAGTATTTATACAGGACTGGAAAAACCAGGGTTTCAGAAGACCTCACCTCCCATTTAGGCACCAAAGTCAGGGGTCAAATTTTCACATTGGATACTGAGTTATGTTGAAAATCAGGCCTGAAGTGTATGAGTGGGAGCTTCTGGGTGCTAAAATCTTTTGAAAATCTGGTCCCAATTGTGAGTACTTAAGCACCTGAAAATCTACCCCTGTGTGTTCCTGGGGCCATAAATAATTACAAATGTAGTGAATCATACTCCCAGCCCTAAGGAGCTTTCTTAATCCAAGATTATCTACAGATCAATAAGGTGGGTGAGATATCTTCTATTGGACCAACTTCTTCTGGCGAAAGAAACACAGAACTCCTCTTCCGCTCTGTGTAAACTCGCAAGTTGGCTCTTCAACAGAAATTGGTCCAATAAAAGATATTACCTCACCCACCTGGGATCAACACAGCTATGACAACTCTGCAAACAACAGAGTAGAGCGTGATGTAAAAGAAGGGGCACTTGCTGGAGAAGTGGGAGCTTGTTCCAAGCATAGGGCAGCCATATTGAAGGTGGGAAGCTGAGAGCACATGTGAAGGAAACAAAGGCTGTGCGTCTACACTAATCTTTTGCAGGGGAAGTCTCACCAGCACCAGTGGGAGCACTTGAATGGTCAGGGCTCTGCCTTTTTTACCATCATGTCGTCTAGACCTGCTCTGAACAGGGCGAGATGACACCATGGTAACACCACCAGCGTCCTCTCTTCACTAACTCTCCCACAGACAGTAAGGAAGTCCTGGGACACTTCCCCAGATAATCTAGCATAGGCAAGACCAGAGAAAGCAGCAAGGAGAAAGGACTGAGAGGGACATAGAGAGGGAAAGTGCGAAGGATCCTGGCATTGGCTGGGGTAGGGAAATGATGCTACCGAGCATTTTTCCTACTGTACATTTCTTAGTCTGCTCCAGGCCGCTACATAAGTACTTTGGGTTATTTCTGAAGATAAGGCCCTTGAAGTGCTCTAAGGCCCAGCCAGAGGTTACCTGACTCTTTGTCCTAAGGCTGGGAGTCTACACTAAGAAGTCAATGTAGTTGTATAGTTGTTTGTCCTCCTGGCACAGCCCAGCTTCACAGAGCTCTCCTCCTTGACCCGCCTGTTGAAAGGCCATTGTACACAGGAGGTTGCTTTTAAGTATTAGACACTTTGAATATTCTGATAAAAATAAACCCAAGCACCTCATGCTCCAGGATGAATCAGATACTGCAACAGGGACCTTTGCAATTCCTATGCTTATTTTTCACTGTTCATCAAAAGTTTAACTCAGGCCCACTACAGGTTTCAATGTACATAAAGAACAATTGCAGGCATGTTCTTCAACAAATAGCCCAGAGTGATATAAATGGCATTAAATTGTTCTCTCTTTGTTTTCTTTGCTCCTACACAATGTACTCAGTTCCCAGTGAAACTTTGGACAGAGCACCACAGACACAAGTCACATCTCCCAGTTTTGCCAAACCTTCTGTTAAATACTGACTCACTGTCCTCGTGAATCAGGCTAGTGAACTGAAGCTTTCCCTCCAGCTCCTAGCTGCAGAAATGAAAGTGAAGTTTCCTTTCAATTTATATCATTACATGTGCAAAGGAAAACGGGCTAGAAACTTTGTCTGTAACTGGAATCTCCTGTATATCTCCAGTTCTCCCAAATCTGAGAAGACCTCATGGGGCCCAAAGACCCAGCTCTGAGAAACATCATAGCCAAAAGGAACAATAAACTAAGTAGAATACAAGCAGCAAGCTAAATTAGTAAATATTTGGTTTTCATGCAGCTTGATTGTACACATGGAATTCACAGGGGAGGGAAGCTGAACCACGGTATTCCACAGACAGCAAGGACTTGTACAAATCTGGTTCGACTGAACAAACAAAAGACACTACTTTAAGCAATCTTGGTGAGTAAGAGAGTGCTAAGCACCAGGAAGGGAGCAGATGTATATTGAAATATCAGGCTGTTGCTCCTGAAATTAAGTCACCTAGATGAATTTCAGAAGTTCTGAGCACCAGCAATTCCCATTGATGTCAATGGAGAATGTGGATGCTAAGCACCTCTGATGAAATGCCCTGTGGTAATACCTGCTGGCCAGAGACGAGCCCTAGACCCAGGGCATGTTTTATACATTAAATGGAATGGAAGGTAACATGGTAGGAATTGGGGGACAGGTTTTAAATAAGGCAAAAATGTAACCCAGAACTTGTACTATCTAGGCTTGGAATTTAATGACCACACCAATGAGAACTGATTGAACACAGACAGCCTTGCTGAAGGGGATAGGTGAAGAAAGCGTTTGGGTGAGTGTTTGTTCCTGTAACGAAATGAGCATTCACAAACAAAAATGGAAAAGTAAAAAATTTGTAACCAGATTCTTTTGTACAGGCTTTTTAAACTCAAGATGCCTCCTCATATTACTACCCTCATTTTAAAAAAAAATCCATAACCATGTACTGCTCTTGCTCACTCAGTCATTGGGGAAAAATAATTAAGCAACCAGAGACACAATAACCCCAGGAGCAGAAGGATGTATTACTATTAGAGAGGCAGAGGAAGGAGTTACCCAAAAAGCAAGTTCTTCGTTTGCTGACAACATTACCTTCCCAAAGTAGCCCCTGTAAACTCATCCTGCCAAAAGCATGGATACATCTCTGCACTGATCCAGGAGTTCTCATCTCCAAACTGCCAAGCTAAGATCCTTAAATCTCAGTGAAAAATTAAAAATAAAAAGTGCCCATGTAGAGAAGTTTGAAGGACAGGGGCCGTAGATTGTAAGATCCCAGAGGCAGGGACTGTCTCCTTCTGCACACACAGGAGCAAGTACACAGCTGGTGCTCACCAAAGAGTGTGATCTTAGTGCCAGGTCTTGCCACAAATTAAACACCACATAAGACAGGTAGAAGCAGGGGAAAAAATTTATTTACATATCTCAAATGGCAATATAGCTGTAGTGATTCTCCAGGGACCAGACCACCCAAGAATAAACTCGCTGTTACATTTCCAGCCATCAGCAAACATACAAATACCAAATGGTTCCCACGGAGAGGACAGACAGAGGAAACCTCCTCCTTCCAACCCCCACTTTGGTTTATTACAGAACTGTCACCACTTTATTTTTTAAAAAAAACAAAAACAAAAAACCACGCATAAGATTCACAGTAAAGTACCAAAGTCAGGGGATGAAGTGGGGAATTGTGTTGTGTTCTGATGGGAAGATTCAGACTGTAGGAGAAAGCTGAAGTAAAACAACTAACACAGGTAGGTTGTGTGACCCAAGTGCAGTGGGATAGTATGCAGTTCAAATTGAAGATGTTTATCTCAGCAATGATTTGATCCATCCTTTAAAAACACAGTACAAGTATCTATAGATAATTTGCACACCAATATTTAATGAGTGCATGCCCTGTAAAACTAGACCTGTTCCTCTCCTAAAAAAAAGTGGATTTATTTAGGACCTAAAACCTCTAACAAGCCCTCCCATAGCAATTCTAAGGTAAATACACACACATCCATTCCATCCCTTTAACTACACTCCAAACACCCCACCCCTTTGCACACAACACAGACAACTAAAAAGGTAGAGCTGGACTCTGGGATGGGAGGGATCATCATAAATTGTTGGATTTGACACAGATTGCCAGGTTGTACCTAGTTTCAAGTGAGTTTTGGGGTTCCTACCCCAATTCAGGGTCTCCTGAATTCTGCTTTGCACTAAAGAACAGGTGCGGCAGCCATTTTAGAAACTCAAAATTAAAAACCTAGTGCTGAAATGACAGTGCAACCATGTGTAGTGTATTGGTGTTAGTATACTTCCTGAAGTCAATCACTACCACTCCAACCCACAGCATCATTAATAAACCCTGAGGAATGCACATGCTGTGAGTGCCAACCCTTTGAAATAAACAACACTTCATACTTATACAGTGCTTTATGTCAATCCACCAATGTCCTGCTGTGGTATGTAAATATAGTATTATCCCCAAGGTGATCAGGTGTCAAATTGATGTAAAGAATTTACAACTCTTTTAAAAATTGACATTAAAAAAGTTTGTAGATGCCACAAAGAATAGAGATTGCTATTTTCATAGATTCACAGATTCCAAGACCAGAAGGGACCATTGTGATCATCTAGTCTGACCTCCTGTATAACACAGGCCACAGAACTTCACCCAAATAATTCCCAGACTATATATTTAAGAAAAACATCCAATCTAGATTTTAAAACTGTCAGCGGTGGAGATAGTATCAGTGAATTTAAAATCTAAGAACATTAAGAGGGGATGTGGTAACAGTTTTGAAGTACATAAAAGGTTGTTACGAGGAGGGAGAAAAATTATTCTTCTTAACCTTTGAGGATAGGACAAGAAGCAGCAATTAAATTGCAGCAAGGGAAGTTTAGGTTGGACATTAGGAAAAACTTCCTGTCAGGGTGCTTAAGCACTGGACTAAATTGCCTTGGGAGATTGTGGAATCTCCATCATTGGAGATTTTTAAGAGCAGGTTATACAAACACCTGTCAGGGATGGTATAGATAATACTTAGTCCTGCCATGTATGCAGGGGACTGGACTAGATGACCTCTCAAGGTCCCTTCTAGTCCTATGATCAATGCACAAAGTTCTCTCATTCAAAACAACCTGGACATTCAACAATTATCTTCTAAATATGGTAACTTTAAGGGAAACCTAACAATTAAAAAAAAAAGTTTGCAGAAGAAAGGCCACCAAGAATGGAGTTTGCAGCTACTGCAAGGGAACAGGGCATGGACGCACCTCCAACAGGTAGTTTTGTCACTTCTTCAGCAGAATGTTACTCACACGTAGTCCAATGCACTGAGCACAGGATTACAGCCCCATGCTCAGAGTCAGCAAGTGACCTCTGGCCAGTCACATACCTCCATTTGCAAAATAGGGGCAGCATGCACTGCCTGGGGACTGACTAATGTTTATAAAGCACAATATGAAATATTATACATGCATGTAAAAATGGCTAAGGCTACTAATGGACAGAGAGAGAGAGGCATAATAAAGTGAAAGGTGTTCCAGCTACAGTTCAAAGGTGCATGTCTCCATCCATCCAGGAATTGTTGTGGCTCTAGCATGTCCAAATGTTGTTCTAAGCCATTCATCTTACATAACTGGAAGAATAAATTTCCCTAAGGGGAAAGATGCAGCATAGGATGCCCAAAAGAGCCTCTTGTCTGATGAAATACGACAGCCTGAAAAACAATGGGAACAGCAGCATTTGCACTTTCATAGGTTTTGATAAAGATAAGGAGAATGGTCTCAAGGAAGACTCTTAACTGTGTTGAAATGTGTTCAATACAGAGAGACAAAAAGCAAATAAAATAATGGATACAAATGAAAGCCTCAAATGTCACTGTTCAAATATATCCCCCTGAACGGCACTGGAGGGTAGGACAGTAAAGGCAGTGAAATGAGACCCTCGATTTGAATGGTTTCAGAGTAACAGCCGTGTTAGTCTGTATTCGCAAAAAGAAAAGGAGTACTTGTGGCACCTTAGAGGCTAACCAATTTATTTGAGCATAAGCTTTCGTGAGCTACAGCTCACTTCATCGGATGCATACTGTGGAAAGCGTAGAAGATCTTTTATACACACAAAGCATGAAAAAATACCTCCCCCCACCCCACTCTCCTGCTGGCAATAGCTTATCTAAAGTTTGGGGACAATGTATACCTTCAGATCAGCGGCACTGCTATGGGTACCCGCATGGCCCCACAGTATGCCAACATTTTTATGGCTGACTTAGAACAACGCTTCCTCAGCTCTCGTCCCCTAATGTCCCTACTCTACTTGCGCTATATTGATGACATCTTCATCATCTGGACCCATGGAAAAGAAGCCCTTGAGGAATTCCACCATGATTTCAACAATTTCCATCCCACCATCAACCTCAGCCTGGTCCAGCCCACACAAGAGATCCACTTCCTGGACACTACAGTGCTAATAAACGATGGTCACATAAACACCACCCTATACCGGAAACCTACTGACTGTTATTCCTACCTACATGCCTCCAGCTTTCACCCTGACCACACCACACGATCCATCGTCTACAGCCAAGCTCTGCGATACAACCGCATTTGCTCCAACCCCTCAGACAGAGACAAACACCTACAAGATCTCTATCAAGCATTCTTACAACTACAGTACCCACCTGCAGAAGTGAAGAAACAGATTGATAGAGCCAGAAGAGTTCCCAGAAGTCACCTACTACAGGACAGGCCTAACAAAGAAAATAACAGAACGCCACTAGCTGTCACCTTCAGCCCCCAACTAAAACCCCTCCAACGCATTATCAAGGATCTACAACCTATCCTGAAGGATGACCCAACACTCTCACAAATCCTGGGAGACAGGCCAGTCCTTGCCTACAGACAGCCCCCCAGCCTGAAGCAAATACTCACCAGCAACCACATACCACACAACAGAACCACTAACCCAGGAACCTATCCTTGCAACAAAGCCTGTTGCCAACTGTGCCCACATATCTATTCAGGGGACACCATCACAGGGCCTAATAACATCAGCCACACTATCAGAGGCTCGTTCACCTGCACATCCACCAATGTGATATATGCCATCATGTGCCAGCAATGCCCCTCTGCCATGTACATTGGTCAAACTGGACAGTCTCTACGTAAAAGAATAAATGGACATAAATCAGATGTCAAGAATTAACATTCATAAACCAGTCGGAGAACACTTCAATCTCTCTGGTCACACGATTACAGACATGAAAGTTGCAATTCTTCAACAAAAAAACTTCAAATCCAGACTCCAGCAAGAAACTGTTGAATTGGAATTCATTTGCAAATTGGATACAATTAACTTGGGCTTGAATAGAGACTGGGAGTGGCTAAGTCATTATGCAAGGTAACCTATTTCCCCTTGTTTTTTCCTAACCCCCCCCCCCGACGTTCTTGTTAAACCCTGGATTTGTGCTGGAAATGGCCCACCTTGATTATCATACACATTGTAAGGAGAGTGGTCACTTTAGATAAGCTATTACCAGCAGGAGAGTGGGGTGGGGGGAGGTATTTTTTCATGCTTTGTGTGTATAAAAGATCTTCTACACTTTCCACAGTATGTATCCGATGAAGTGAGCTGTAGCTCACGAAAGCTTATGCTCAAATAAATTGGTTAGTCTCTAAGGTGCCACAAGTACCCCTTTGGATTTGAATGCTTGCTTAAAATGGAGGAGATTACACAGCATTTCCAACAGGAGTTTAACACCTATTGGCAAACAGAAAAATATTCTCAAATGCATCCCTTCCCACACACTTATTTTTCCACCAGTGTTTTCCTCCGACTCTACAGTTGCATCAGTTTAGCAACTTTGATAAAGTTTATTTCAGATATTAGGAATTTTTAGTCAGGTCACATTTATTCTCTTCGCCACCTCCTACAGCAGCTGCTTTTCAAGGGCTCCATCCATAAATCTCGCAGACCCAGCATTCCCTCCATCACACTTCTCAGTAGCATGTGGGAATGTTAGTGCTCAGAAGACTCCTGCCCTAGCACCTTCCCTTCTGGCGGTCCTCATCCCAGAGAGCGGACACTCATGGCAACAAACAGGGACTACTACGGCATATGCGATTCCTAACATGGCTAGGAGTCCAGCAGTGGTCTGTCTCATGCAGTGAGTGGAGCACACCAGCATTAAAAGTCAGAGATGTGCACACAAGCAACTCCCACTGTCCCTATATTAGCATATTTTAAAATAATTTAAATACCCTTTAGCTAACCCCTCTGTGAAAGAAGAGGTTTTCCAGGAGCCTCATTTGTTTCTTCAAGCAGCAGTTTTACTTTCAAATAACCCCTTTTGTTGCTAACATATATTATGAATTTGAGCCATTTCTTTTGTTCAGAGTACAGTCCTGTTAGTGGAAAGAACCAACCATTAGAAGTATGTTTTAACTAGATGGATGGTAGATCCCTTCAAGGACCTCCCCACCCATACAGTTAACACAGATCTCCCACGTGCTCTGCAGCTGCTCCCTGTCCTCCCACACCATGAGAGAACCTGGTTAGCCCTGTAATTCAGTTCTGCTCCACTCGAATCAGTGGGAAGTCTCCCATTGAGAGCAGACCTTAGAACTCCTTAGTGCCTCCTTTAGACCATTACTTTCAGTGGAAGGCAACTAGGGGAGAATGGATAGGCAGCTGAGAACCAGGCCTCCCAACCCGGCAGATCTATAACTGGTGCTACATCTCCCATTCTTGGCCCCGCCCCCAAAACCCTATGGATTGATATGCACCCTGGTGCATAACATGGGTTCCCAGGCAGGGTTGCACACACGTCTTCATGTCCTCTAGGTTGTTCCCTCCACGCACCTCAAAACCCTGCCCCATACACAAGTGGAGAGATCAGTTCAGGCCATTAGGGTTTTTCCACTCAGCCTTTTCATACCACATCAGTGCAGTTCTGCTTTGTCTCACTTAGAAAGGGATAGTAATGACATTTCGAAAGCTGTCTGATCCCAGTCCAAAGCCATGCATTCCAACTAGGAAGGCACTGACCTCACCACATTGCACAGTGGTTCTAAAATCAAAATAGGGTCCAACTTCCTACTTATACTACTGTGAATGCAACAGTCACAGTCCCCAGTAAGAGATCGTACTGTGCAATACTGCTCGGTATCATCATGGCTAACACGCAAATGGTCACAGGATGCCAGCCTGTCTGATGGGCTAGTGATGACAATGGCCGACTGGCTGCAATACTCTGGGACTGCCAGAGTGTGCCTTCTACTGCCAGGAGCAGGAGGGGGCCATGATTTATAGAGAAGAAAATGGAATCCAGGATAAGGCTGGTGGAAATCTAGTGCACTACTGGGCCAATGTCATGTGAGTGGTACGAAAGAAAGGAGGATGCGAACATACCGATAACTCATGTCTTCCCATCACAAAAGAATGCCAAGACAAAAATTAGCATCTTCCTGGCTGGGAAAAAGCATTAATGTAGGATGACAAAAAAAAAAATTAAGTAAAGACGACTTCTACTCAAACAAATCTCCCCAGGCCTCAGAAAGCCAAAGTAAGTTCCACCTAAGAATCCTCCCCCTACAAACTTATAGCCACTCTTCAGGAGTGTATTTTCAAGATCCAAAAGCAGGAATGACGACATTTCAGCAGCAGACACTTGCCCTGCTTGTTAACCGTTGTAATTAATCAAGTTGTCTATTGCAGAGGTTCTCAAACTGTGGCCCGCGAACTCCATTCAGGTGGTCTGCGGATAGTTCCCTAAGGTACACGCCTGGGCGGACGCACACGAGAGACTGACGGGCCACCCACCTAATTAGTGGAGCCGCGCGGGCATGGCTCCAGTGGCGTAGCTAGGTGGAGCGAACAGAGGCAGCGGACATAAACGAAAAGGTGCCACCCACTTGTACTCACCAGACGGCGCTCCGGGTCCTCGGTGGCACTGAAGGCCCTCGCTGCTGAAATGCCGCCGAGGACCTGGAGCAAATGAAGGCCCCTGCCGAGCCGGAGCACGTGAAGGCCCCCGCTGTCAAAGACCTGGAGCAGCGGCGGGTGAGTAAAAATTAAAAAAGGCGCCTATAAATTAAAAAGTCACCACTTGTGCTCAGAGGGGGAGCAGCCGCTCCCCCCACTCCCCTCCTGGCTACGCTACTGCATGGCTCCACTAATTAGGTGCCTGAACCCTGGAGAAGACGCACATGTAAGGAGAGGTGGTGGCCCTGGGGGGAATAGGGAGTAGGTGGGAGGGGGCAATGGGGTGAGAAGAAGGGGTGGGCGGAATTTGTGACGTGCAAGGCTGTTGTGGCCAGAGAAAGAGGCAACTTTCCCCAGGTCCAGGGCTGCGGCTGCTGGGGAGAGGCAGTCCTCCTTCCCAGCCTCAGCTCGGGGGCTGCCACAGCGGAGAAGAGAGGCCTGCCACAGCGAAGAAGAGAGGGAGTGACCCCCCTCCTTCCCAGCCCATCTCGGGGGCTGCCACAGCGGGGGGCGGGGGTGGGAAGGTAAGACTACTGATATTAAAATATGAGTTGTGTGCTTTTATTTGTAGAATAAAAAATGTTAATTATTATTAAGTTTTTTTTTAATATAGCACTTTTATCCGAAGCACTTTACAATAGGTAGCTAACGGTAAAAAAACATTTGGAAAGATCATTAAGTGGTCCGCTGAGACACTCAGCAATTTTCAAATGGTCCGCGGGGAAAAAAGTTTGAAAACTACTGATCTATTGTAATATGGAGGTAGCCCTTCTAGTTGGTTACTGTGGACTGTAGCAAGCTATGCAACTGAAACAGCTTGGTATAAAGTTCTCTAAAAGCTATTCTGTAAAATTCAGCTTATTTCTCAAAAATACACAATCTTGGTTTTTCTTAAATAGCTTATAAAATAAGGCAACTTAAGGAGACATGGCCTTACGAGGTAAATCACACCCCCCGTTAATTAGGTACTGTAAGTATTAAAGATCAAGTCAAACAAATTTACAGTAATTCCAGTTTAGAAAAGCCACCACTACATCTAGCTTCATGACTCAACACATGAAAATAGGAACAAAGGAAACTGAGGAAGAGATTTCATACGCCTTAAAAGGTGTTTGTTTACAACAATTCATTCACATGTAACATTGTCAATCCAGGAACACTTATATTTCCTCCCCACAAGAATCACTAGTAGTTAGTTCACAGTGTTTCAGATCACTGCAGCTGTAGCTGTAAACTGGAAATTAATGTCTACAGAGGACCAAAAAAAAAAAAATATTACAGTAAAGCTTTCCCATTCCATTAGCTGTAACCAGAAACTAAAAATCTGAACAGGGAAAAAAGCCTATGTAAAACTCGAGACACCTCTAGAAAAATGCAGTGTTTTGTTCAGTGCTTGGAAATGTTTATGGCAAGTGTTTTTAGATGAGCTGCATGCTTAACTGTACATAACCTCAAGCACAAGACTAGACTGAGCATAAAACAACAGAGACAAGGTGGCGGGTGAAGCATTGTCTTTTAGTGGACCAACTTTCAATAAAAGATATTACCTCACCCACCTTGTCTCTCTAATCTCCTGAGACCAACACAGCTACAACAATGTGTACAGAAAGTACCAGTCAGTTTTGCCTGACCATCAAGGAATGTACAAGAACAATTGCTTTTGATTCACAAAGTGCTTAAATACCACCAATTGGTTGCGACTCTTGCCATCCAACACATGTGCATAACTCACAGATGTCAATGAGAATTGTGTCTGTGTAAGACCTGAAGGACCAGACCCTAAAGTGTTCCATTATTATGAGAAAAAGTAATCCCCCGCAAAAGGTATTTCCCCCCAGAATGGTCCCTGTATACTGAGAGAAGAAAGAACCTCAATTATAAGGCAGAATAGATAGATACAATGAACTTTTTCCAGATAAAATTACAAAAAACACATTAGAATAAATCTTTGGGATAAACTAATACACTATGCCCATATCTTGTAGTGTTAAAGCTATAAACAACCAAAGCACAAACTAGTGCAACTCATTTCTCATGGACAAACTTAGGCTTACTCAGTTTCCTGGTCTATTGGTTGGCATGCATCATACCACTTAGTGAAAACTAGATCATATAGCAGCATTTATTTTTATTTTTTTGGAGGACAGCACAAGAATGTATTTAACCCCCAGGACTTTTTTTTCCTTCTATGTTTATTAATACTGGAAATGTTGTGTTCACATTTGAGCTTTGCAATGTAAATATTTTCCATGTTACTCACTGATTCCCCATGGGGTCAAAGTCTGCATTTAGGGTTTTTATTTCTCAGAGGAAATAAAGAAGTTGCCATGTAGAGCTAGCTCAAGGCAAAGGGTGTTGTGGAGCAATGGAGCAGCACATTGCATATGCACATGGATTCATGGAGGGAACCATGATAGGTTAGATATACTCTAAGTCTGTCTAAGTCTGAATCATTGATTAAGGTTCCCGGATCACATCAGCAATACTTTGTAGCATGAAAACTAGAATTTATTCCAGCAGACTTCATCTTTTACAGAAAGGGTTCTTTTCCACCCTGACGCTGGCTGTAACTGCATTTCCAGAACTGTAAACTCCAGTAAAGCCAAGAAGTTGTTCTAGACATTGTACTATCCTCTAACTGGGCACAGCAGCAATACGGCACAGAGAAACAAAATGAACAACCATATTAAATTCTTGATCCTTTACACAAGATGGTTAATTAGCTTCTTTGGAATGGACAGGCCGGACCTTGCTGGAAACCAGAGTGTAAACATAAGGCCAGATTTTGTTGGTCTCTGTCCCAGAAAATGAGTGTAGGACACCTCTGCTCCTGAAAAATATAATTAAGATTAGAAATTAGTATAATTTGATTGAAAATTCTGGAACACATTAGGACTATGCAGTGTCTATGATCAAGAACAGATGCCTTCACATGCAAAGGAGCATGACCAATAAAAATGAATGTAGCCTAAGCTCTTGAATAACCATTCTAGATTGCAGGTCAAGTTTTGGGTCAAATTTTTGGTAAGCTCTGTGTAATTTATAGTAGAAACAAAAAGCTGATTATGCTTAATGTTCATCTAATCTACTCATTGATTCTTCACTACTTAGGGTATGTCTACATTGCAGCTGGGAAGCGTAATTCCCAGCTCAGGTAGATGTACATGTGCTACAAATAGCCGTGTGGCTGCAGCGGGAAGGGTGGCAGCTTGGGCTACCTGCCTCAGGATGTCCCTAGGATCTTGGGCAGGGGTGTACTACATTTTATATACAAGAGACTTATCTAGTCTGTCCCTCTGCAGTGCAGGTTTGCTCATTACAGTATATTTCCTAGTGCATTACAATGGATGTGTCATCAGAACAACAACTGCAAGGTAAAAGCCTTAGACTCAGACTTATCAAAGTATGCGCTGAACTTTAAATATTTTACAAGCTTCAGTGGGACTACTCACATGCTTAAGGTCCTGGGTGTCTTAGGGCCTCAGTCCCTTGTATTTCATGTCCCTTTCATTCCATATGACTATTTCAACTTTTAAAATGTTACTGAATGCTGCATTGCTTTCAAATTTTCAGTCTCAATCACTAGATCGTTAGCACAGAGCTGAAAGCAAGGCAAGGCAAGGCAAGTATGACAAAACATGCCCCAAAATAATCACAGCATAGGCAAGAACATTAACACATTCTCTTAAGAGCCAGTCCTACAAATATTTAAGCATGTGGATAATCTTAGCCCTGGTCTACACTAGGACTTTAGGTCGAATTTAGCAGCGTTACATCGATGTAAACCTGCACCCGTCCACACAATGAAGCCCTTTATTTCGACTTAAAGGGCTCTTAAAATCGATTTCCTTACTCCACCCCTGAGAAGTGGATTAGCGCTTAAATTGACGTTGCCGGCTCGAATTTGGGGTACTGTGGACACAATTCGATGGTATTGGCCTCCGGGAGCTATCCCAGAGTGCTCCATTGTGACCGCTCTGGACAGCACTCTCAACTCAGATGCACTGGCCAGGTAGACAGGAAAAGAACCACGAACTTTTGAATCTCATTTCCTGTTTGGCCAGCGTGGCAAGCTGCAGGTGACCATGCAGAGCTCATCAGCACAGGTGACCATGATGGAGTCCCAGAATTGCAAAAGAGCTCCAGCATGGACCGAACGGGAGGTACGGGATCTGATTGCTGTTTGGGGAGAGGAATCCGTGCTATCAGAACTCCGTTCCAGTTTTCGAAATGCCAAAACCTTTGTGAAAATCTCCCAGGGCATGAAGGACAGAGGCCATAACAGGGACCCGAAGCAGTGCCGCGTGAAACTGAAGGAGCTGAGGCAAGCCTACCAGAAAACCAGAGAGGTGAACAGCCGCTCTGGGTCAGAGCCCCAAACATGCCGCTTCTATGATGAGCTGCATGCCATTTTAGGGGGTTCAGCCACCACTACCCCAGCCGTGTTGTTTGACTCCTTCAATGGAGATGGAGGCAATACGGAAGCAGGTTTTGGGGACGAAGAAGATGATGATGAGGAGGAGGTTGTAGATAGCTCACAGCAAGCAAGCGGAGAAACCGGTTTTCCCGACAGCCAGGAACTGTTTCTCACCCTAGACCTGGAGCCAGTACCCCCCGAACCCACCTAAGGCTGCCTCCTGGACCCAGCAGGCGGAGAAGGGACCTCTGCTGAGTGTACCTTTTAAAATACTATACATGGTTTAAAAGCAAGCATGTGAAAGGATTACTTTGACCTGGCATTTGCGGTTCTCCTAGATGTAGTCCTAAAGCCTTTGCAAAAGGTTTCTGGGGAGGACAGCCTTATTGCGTCCTTCATGGTAGGACACTTTACCACTCCAGGCCAGTAACACGTACTCGGGAATCATTGTAGAACAAAGCATTGCAGTGTATGTTTGCTGGCATTCAAACAACATCCGTTCTTTATCTCTCTGTGTTATCCTCAGGAGAGTGAGATATAATTCATGGTCACCTGGTTGAAATAGAGTGCTTTTCTTCAGGGGACACTCAGAGGAGCCCATTCCTGCTGGGCTGTTTGCCTGTGGCTAAACAGAAATGTTCCCCGCTGTTAGCCACAGGGAGGGGGGAAGGTTGAGGGGATAGTCACGCGGTGGGAGGAGGCAAAATGCGACCTTGTAACGAAAGCACATGTGCTATGTATGTAATGTTAACAGCAAGGTTTACCCTGAAAGAGTGTAGCCACTGTTTTATAAAATGTGTCTTTTTAAATACCGCTGTCCCTTTTTTTTTTTCTCCACCAGCTGCATGTGTTTCAATGATCACAGGATCTTCTCCTTCCCAGAGGCTAGTGAAGCTTAGAAAGAAAAAAAAACGCACTCGCGATGAAATGTTCTCCGAGCTCATGCTGTCCTCCCACACTGACAGAGCACAGACGAATGCGTGGAGGCAAATAATGTCAGAGTGCAGGAAAGCACAAAATGACCGGGAGGAGAGGTGGCGGGCTGAAGAGAGTAAGTGGCGGGCTGAAGACAGGGCTGAAGCTCAAATGTGGCGGCAGCGTGATGAGAGGAGGCAGGATTCAATGCTGAGGCTGCTGCAGGACCAAACCAGTATGCTCCAGTGTATGGTTGAGCTGCAGCAAAGGCAGCTGGAGCACAGACTGCCACTGCAGCCCCTCTGTAACCAACCGCCCTCCTCCCCAAGTTCCATAGCCTCCACACCCAGACGCCCAAGAACGCGGTGGGGGGGCCACCAGCCAACCAGCCACTCCGCCACAGAGGATTGCCCAAAAAAAAGAAGGCTGTCATTCAATAAATTTTAAAGTTGTAAACTTTTAAAGTGCTGTGTGGCATTTTCCTTCCCTCCTCCACCACCCCTCCTGGGCTACCTTGGTAGTCATCCCCCTATTTGTGTGATGAATGAATAAAGAATGCATGAATGTGAAGCAACAATGACTTTATTGCCTCTGCAAGCGGTGATTGAAGGGAGGAGGGGCGGGTGGTTAGCTTACAGGGAAGTAGAGTGAACCAAGGGGCGGGGGGTTTCATCAAGGAGAAACAAACAGAACTTTCACACCATAGCCTGGCCAGTCATGAAACTGGTTTTCAAAGCTTCTCTGATGCGTACCGTGCCCTCCTGTGCTCTTCTAACCGCCCTGGTGTCTGGCTGCGCGTAACCAGCAGCCAGGCGATTTGCCTCAACCTCCCACCCCGCCATAAACGTCTCCCCCTTACTCTCACAGATATTGTGGAGCACACAGCAAGCAGTAATAACAGTGGGAATATTGGTTTCGCTGAGGTCTAAGCGAGTCAGTAAACTGCGCCAGCGCGCCTTTAAACGTCCAAATGCACATTCTACCACCATTCTGCACTTGCTCAGCCTGTAGTTGAACAGCTCCTGACTACTGTCCAGGCTGCCTGTGTACGGCTTCATGAGCCAGGGCATTAAGGGGTAGGCTGGGTCCCCAAGGATACATATAGGCATTTCAACATCCCCAACAGTTATTTTCTGGTCTGGGAATAAAGTCCCTTCCTGCAGCTTTTGAAACAGACCAGAGTTCCTGAAGATGCGAGCATCATGCACCTTTCCCGGCCATCCCACGTTGATGTTGGTGAAACGTCCCTTGTGATCCACCAGAGCTTGCAGCACTATCGAAAAGTACCCCTTGCGGTTTATGTACTCGGCGGCTTGGTGCTCCGGTGCCAAGATAGGGATATGGGTTCCGTCTATAGCCCCACCACAGTTAGGGAATCCCATTGCAGCAAAGCCATCCACTATGACCTGCACATTTCCCAGGGTCACTACCCTTGATATCAGCAGATCTTTGATTGCGTGGGCTACTTGCATCACAGCAGCCCCCACAGTAGATTTGCCCACTCCAAATTGATTCCCAACTGACCGGTAGCTGTCTGGCGTTGCAAGCTTCCACAGGGCTATCGCCACTCGCTTCTCAACTGTGAGGGCTGCTCTCATCTTGGTATTCATGCGCCTCAGGGCAGGGGAAAGCAAGTCACAAAGTTCCATGAAAGTGCCCTTACGCATGCGAAAGTTTCGCAGCCACTGGGAATCGTCCCAGACCTGCAACACTATGCAGTCCCACCAGTCTGTGCTTGTTTCCCGAGCCCAGAATCGGCGTTCCACAGCATGAACCTGCCCCATTAGCACCATGATGCATGCATTGGCAGGGCCCATGCTTTCAGAGAATTCTGTGTCCATGTCCTGATCACTCACGTGACCGCGCTGACGTCGCCTCCTCGCCCGGTATCGCTTTGCCAGGTTCTGGTGCTGCATATACTGCTGGAAAATGCGTGTGGTGTTTAATGTGCTCCTAATTGCCAAAGTGAGCTGAGCGGCTTCCATGCTTGCCTTGGTATGGTGTCCGCACAGAAAAAAGGCGCGGAACGATTGTCTGCCGTTGCTCTGATGGAGGGAGGGGCGACTGACAACACGGCTTACAGGGTTGGCTTCAGGGAGCTAAAATCAACAAAGGGGGTGCCTGTACATCAAGGAGTATTTCAGGCAGGACTTCACGGAGGGTTCCAATAAGAAATGGTGCACCTAAGTTATCGTTGTTATTGGAACAAGGAGGTTAGCCTGGCCTCTGATTGATACATGCCTAGATTTACCTCGCTGCACCTTCTCTGTGAGTGACTGCAGTGTGACCTAGAGGAATGAATCCCCTAGACAGGGGAGGAGGCAAATGAGTACAAAACAAATCTGGTCTATTTCTTGTTTTGACCCACTCCATCTATCTTTTACATCTTTGGCTGGCAGCAGACGGTGCAGAAGGACTGCATGCCATCCACATCTCATGGCTGCTCGGCAGCAGATGGTACAGTACGACTGCTAGCCATCCCCATCTCTTGCCTGCCTGGCAGAAGATGGTACAATACGACTGCTAGCAATCCTCATCTCTTGCCTGCCTGGCAGAAGATGGTACAATACGACTGCTAGCAGTCCGTATCGCCTGCCCGCTCACCATAAGACGGTTCAATAGGACTGACTGCAGGACTAAAGAGAATGACCTGGTCAAGTCACTCCAAATTTAGTCCCTGCACCCATGTCTGCCCAGGCGCTCCCAGCCGACGTGGCCAGGAGCACCTCGGACATGACGATGACGGCTACCAGTCGTACTGTACCGTCTGCTGCCACAAGGCAAGGGGTTGCTGCTACTGTGTAGCAATGCCATACCGCGTCTGCCAGCACCCAGGGGACATAGGGTGACGGTTACCTGAGCGGGCTCCATGCTTGCAGTGGTATGGCGTCTGCACAGGTAACTCAGGAAAAAAGGCGTGAAATGATTGTCTGCCCTTGCTTTCACGGAGGGAGGGAGGGAACGGGGGCCTGACGATATGTACCCAGAACCACCCGCGACAATGTTTTAGCCCCATCAGGCATTGGGATCTCAACCCAGAATTCCAATGGGCAGCGGAGACTGCGGGAACTGTGGGATAGGTACCCACAGTGCAACGCTCCGGAAGTCGACTCTAGCCTCGGTACTGTGGAAGCGCTCCGCCGAGTTAATGCACTTAATGCACTTAGAGCATTTTCTGTGGGGACACACACACTCGAATATATAAAACCGATTTCTAAAAAACCGACTTCTATAAATTCGACCTTATTCCGTAGTGTAGACATACCCTTACTCATGTGATTAGACCTATTACATCAGGCTCCAAATGTGTACTGGTAAACAACAATAAAATGAAAAAATTACAGGGAAGGAAGCTGTAGCTGGTGAGTCACATTCAAAATTTTAGTGGGATAAGTTCTTTCAAACTTCTTGAGACTTTTTTTAGTACACTGTATACCAATGTCTGGTTTGCTAGTGTACATATAACTATGGAGGGTTGAGATAGTCCTTTCCACTTTCCCCCGTTGTTCATGAGATAAAACTGCATTTGAAGGCAGCTGGTGTGCTGAGAACACCGCGTAGCACGCTGACACCATACCCATCTGTTGTCTCTCATCTTATACTTAGATTGTAAGCTCTTTGGGGCAATGGACCATCTTTGTTGTGTTTGTACAGCGCCTAGCACAAGGGGGTCTTGGCTCATGACTGGGGCTCCGAGGCACTATAACAATACAAATAATCCATGACTCTGTTTTAGCTCTTAAAGAAAGCTGGTGTGGTCTTTGTGCCTGGAACATGCTGCCACTCTCAGTAAGTAACTAACCTCCATTTATCTGGAGTCTTAAAACTGATTTTTTGCTACACTTTATGCACAGGTTTTCTTTTGTTGTGTCTCTAAACTTTTTCTTTCTCATTGTCCAGTGCTTAAGAGGCTCTACCTAAAGAAGTTAAAAGAATCAGAAATGTTAAATTTTAAAATCTTCCAGCTTCAATCAAATACACAACATCCCTAAGAGACAGGTAGGGATCGTTCCATTTTACAGATGGCTCCATCTCTATCCTCCAATCAATAGATCACAATTCCTCTCAAACATCTGCTTACAGATACACAGCTATTGCAATCATGCGATTCCACCGGCACAATCTAAAGCTGACAGCTGGAGTGATCAAAGGAGAGGGGGGAAAAAGGGAGCTAGACAGAAAGCTCCTTTAAATAAATAAATAAATCTAGATTAAAAACCATACATACAATTCTTTTCTCTCAGAGACATGTGTAATAATTTGTATTCTTTATCATTTAGACTGCATCCAAAAATGTGTTAGCCACTTTCTAAGCACAACACTATGTACGCTGAAGGATCAACTGTTCTTACGCAGCAGATTAAACATAAAACAGAGAAATGGTGAATCTCCCTATAATTAAATTTAACAGCAAAATTAGCCTCATCCTCTAAACTGAACCCAAGGCAGGCTCTGCTTTTGGCTGAAAAGAAAGAGGAAAGAGAGCACAGAATCTAGCTAGCCAGCGGCAGCAGAGGAGAAAGAAAGGCAAAGGAATCACATCTCACTGCCGGAGTTCTGGCAGGAGAGAGATCACTTGATCATTGCCTGTTAAGTTCACTCCCTCTGGGGCACCTGGCATTGGCCACTGTTGGTAGACAGGATACTGGGCTGGACAGACCTTTCGTCTGACCCAGTATAGCCATTCTTATGTACTGTAGGGCTTGAAACAGGCTCTGGCATAAGGTACAGCAGCCCTGGGGTTTGTCCTAATTTAAGGCAGCTTTTCCAGGGCTGCTCTGCAGCCAGGAAGCCCCATAGCACCGAGCAGAACAGGCAGACTCCTGCTCCTAGACTCACCCCTTCCACTACCGCTACACTGCTCCTGTCCTGGGAGAGTTCTTTGGTCCACTGCAGCCTTTACACCTCCCAATTGCCACTCGAGTGGGGCCCTGAATCCAGCCCCAAAAGGTATAGCATATGGCTGCTGATTATGGCCAGGCCAAAAATCTTAACACATACGCAATTTTGCTTGGGAGAGGCCACATCAAGATATCCCTGAGCAAGCCAAGAACAGACTTGTGGAGATGAAAACTTAGCACTTATTTTTACAGGCAGGGTCTGTATTACTTGAGTGCGTTCAAACTCACTTATATAATTCTATTACTGGCTTTGCAGCTTCTTTGTATTTTCTTAGCCGAGCAGCAACAGCATCAGGTTTATCATCTTCCCGTTGAATTAATGGTTCACCCGTGATGTCATCGATCCCCTGTGTACAAGACAAACAATACATCATGAACACTGTGCCAGATTAAACCAGTGCCACACAGTGAGCCATGGGGGTTATATGGGTGTAACTGAGGATAGAATTTGGCCAGCTATAAAGAACTTGCATTCATGTCAGATGATATCACTGCAAGACACTTTACTTACTACAATATATATAGTAGATAAAAATCTGAGTTAAAGGGATAATTAACATTGATCTATGACACTAGTACTAGTTACTATAAGACACCTTGTATTCTCCCTTGATAACAATGGCATCTGTGTGCTAGCTTGCATAACTCCCAGGATAATCATTGTGCCATGACTGCACAATAAAACACTGTGGTATTCTGGACCACAGTAAATTATAGTAGGACATTTTCTTACCCCATGATTAAAATAAATCTCATTTTCCTAAATAAATATTGTCTGATTGGAAACTGCCTTGCACACAATCTTTCAGCTGCCCCCTTAAGGCCCCCGAGCATGAAAAACCTAACTAGTTTTCTAAAACTTATCTAGCAAGAAGAATTCAACTCCCATGCATTCAGTACTTATTAGAGTATAATAGGATTTCTCCCCTTAATATTTTTAAAAAGACTAATAAGGCATTCTCAAGTGGAGACATCTTTACTGATCTAGAAGTAGATTTAAATTTTCTCCAGCTAAATTAGTCTTTAATGTAGTAAATTCTCTTACATGTACATCAGGTGGGTTGAACTCCATATTATACACTCTTCCACTAGCTGGGTGAATCCAGCGAGCGCTTAGACGATCTTTTAGCGTCTCGAATGGGATGTTTAAATTGATCACTAGATCCAGGTCACAGATTCTGTCAAGTGCTTCAGCTTGCACCAGTGTCCTAGGAAAACCTGAACAGGGGATGGAGGGGAAGAGAAAGGAAAAACAAACAAACTCATGTCATATGAACTAACAAAGGCAACTAATATTTATTGGATGGTGAAGAACAGTTTCACAATATCCGTGCTGGTGTTGAAAACCGCCAGTCCTCTGTTACAGCAAAAGCAATAAGTATCCGAGGCTTTGAATAGATGTACACTTAAAACAAATTAACACAAACACAAGAATTTACACTCCATGTCTTAGACAGGCCACTTTGTTGCATGCATAGTATCTATTAATTGCTGAATTCAAGTCGATACAAGGTATGTTCACCTTTAAAGCTTCATATGACCACCCTGTGTACCCAAGTTCTTAACTGTTGACTTGACTGACTACCTGCGAATAGCTCTGAAGTACAATCATCAGAATGCTGGGACTCAGATCTGGGATCAATTCCCAGCACTGCATCGATGACTTTTCGGCCAAGTCACCTAATCTCTGTGCTTCAGATTCCCATCTGTAAAACTGGGATAATACTTCCCTACTTCAGAAGGATGTTACAAGGGTAAACACATTCAATATTTGTGAAGGGAAAGCAAGCTGTATAAGTACTGAGACACGCCAATGCCAAGTATACCAGAGGCAGCAAGATCTCCAGGAGGGGGAGGGAAGGGAAGACGCCCCGGATATTGCATGTCCTATTCTCCAAGCCATGTGAAGAGGGAGGGAGGGCTGGAGGGAGTCTTGGCTCTTGTAGATATTAATTGCTCAAGGGAAGAAACGGCCCCACCTTTAGGGTCAGTCTATAGTCCCAAGAACAATACTGACGAAACAAACCTATTTCCATCATGAAAGTTTTGTCAGTCTTGAGCTGTGCAATTCAACTAGTGACGCATGCAGCTTAATGTACAAAGCATGCGGTACCACATCAGAGATGCGTGAAGCATGCAGCTCTCAGGGCCTGGCTTTGCTTATTCATGAAGGTGTTGATCTTGCATAATCAAACTTAATGGAAGCTTTGCCATTGATTTCAAGAATCAAACTGTTGGGTCTTAATCTGGCACCCACTGGAGTGCTGAGGGTACTGAACTGCCACTGGAATCAACAGGAATTGAGGATGCACCGCACTTCACAGGATCAACCCCTAATAGTGTAAAAACTATGCAACTTAATCAGCAAGTTACACATCTATTGGACTTGACAAGAATGGAGATCAGCGACAGGTCCCCCGGGCCAAGAAATTAAGTAATGGGATGATTAGGCCACATAACTTAATTGCCACGGTATAGGATTTATGGATTATTAATCAGTGGAGCACACCGTTTTTCTGAGAAAGGGAATACTAAGGAGACCTATAGATGAAGGGCACTCCATGGAAAAATTACTGGGGTTCTAAGTCTTTATCTCGAGCTCCGTTTTACTTGGGGTTGAGTGTGTTGCAGAGGGACTTCTGAAGAAGAAGAAGAAGAAAGGGGACTTCCCTCAGGTAACTCAGCAGTGACTTATCTGGCCATTTAAGCAGTGGTGATAGGGCTGTGCATCCCCAGCCAGGCCCCCACTCCCTATCCACCCCTCCCACTTCCCGCCCCCAACTGCCCCCCTCAGAACCTCCGACCCATCCAACCCCCCCTGCTCCTTGTCCCCGGACCGCCCCCTCCCCGGACCCCCCAACCCTAACCACCCCCCCGGGACACCACCCCCTATCCAGCCCCCCCCGTCCCCTGACTGCCCCAACGCCTATCCACCCCCTGACTGGCCCCCTGGGACTCCCACGCCTATCCAACTGCCCACCCCAGAACCATCCAACCCCCCCTGCTCCTTGTCCCCGACCACCCCCTCCCAGGACTTCCCGCCCCTAACCACCCCCAAGGACCCCACCCCCTATCCAACCCGCCCTGCTCCCTATTCCTTGATTGCCCCGCCCCCTATCCACACCCCAGTTCCCCCGGAACCTCCTGCCCCTTATCCAACCACCCCCCGCTCCCTTACCATGCCGCTCAGAGCGGCAGGAGCTCGCAGCCCCGTCACCCAGCTGGAGCCAGTCACACCACTGCGCGGCCCAGCAGGAACAGCGGGCCAGAGCGCGGGCAGTGCAGCAAGCTGAGGCTGCGGAGGAGGGGGACAGCAGGGGCAGGGCTAGGGGCTAGCCTCCCTGGCCAGGAGCTCAAGAGCCAGGCAGGACGGTCCCACGGGCCAGATGTAGCCTGCGGGCCGTACTTTGCCCACCTCTGCTTTCAATGTTACTATATGTCTAGTAAGTACACTGCCGGTGCTATACAGCTCGATTTTTGCAGGCTACAGGATATTTCCATTCCTTTGCAAATCTCATCCTGCCTCATGTATAATCAGACAGATGCAGCACAGTCCTAATTTTAATTGCCGTGGTCTGAGAGGAAAAATATTTTGAAGTTCCAAGGAACGGACATGTTCAAAGGAAACCTTTCAGCCTGGCGTGCCTGCCTCCTCACCCCCATGGGAGAAGTTTTCTTCACACAAAATGTCCTGGCTTCAATCATACTTGGTCCCTAGCAACAATTTCATTTAACCACACCAATTGGGATTCCTAATACCAGAGGAGTTGGTACTTATTGCTACCACAATTCTCATTCCATATGCACCTTCCCCTTGCACTACTAAAGCCGAATTCTGAGTAACTAATACCTATTCATCCAAGAGTACTACAGTAATTGAGAACCTTCTTTCCTAGTCATATAGCCTAGCTACTTTAAAAACAAACCACACAACTAAATGTACATGCTTCATCCCCTCCCCCAATCAGAGTTCCCTCCATATTCTTTATGAAAATATGCTTAGGATACGGATATGACATAATTGAGATATACTTGATGCAAGATGGCTCATGTAAGACATCACTGGAAAGATTATGATTTACTGAATGTGATTATCCAATTTGTGTGTTTATCATTTCTGTATCTGAAATTAGGAATATTGACTATGTAACAATTACAGCTGTGTGTGTGTGTGTGTGTGTGTGTGTATGTATATTTGAGAGACACCCACCAGACAACCCGCCATCACAGCCCTGATGGCCCATTAGGAACAAACAACAAGGCTGTGAAGATACTAATCTCTCTCCTTCCTGAGATTTGTCTTGGGACTAGCTGTAACACTACTAGGTCAGGTGGTCCTGCCACATGGTACTAAACATGATCTTGGACTTCTAGTAATTTTCCACTGACAGGATGGGGAGGTCAAGTTTGGGAAACAAAAGGCTTCCCACCTGATGTAAATTCTATTTAAAGCTGGGAGAGAAGGCATTCCGGACTTTCCCCTCCATGGCCTACCCAAAAAGGAGGACTGCTGAAAGAACCTGAAGGGACAAAAGAGATTAACCTGAATGGAAAGGCAGGAGAGTCCAGACTGAGACAGGGTACAGTCTGTAAGAAGAAATAAACTCTGAGCTACAGAAACTCTGCATCCTACCTAATTCAACATTTAGCGTGAGAAATTACTTTGCGTGTTTTAGAATAACAGCCGTGTTAGTCTGTATTCGCAAAAAGAAATACACCTTAGAGACTAACCAATTTATTTGAGCATGAGCTTTCGTGAGCTACAGCTCACTTCATCGGATGCATACTGTGGAAACTGCAGAAGACATTATATACACAGAGACCATGAAACAATACCTCCTCCCATCCCACTCTCCTGCTGGTAATAGCTTATCTAAAGTGATCATCAAGTTGGGCCATTTCCAGCACAAATCCAGGTTTTCTCACCCCCCCACCCCCCTCCAAAAACCACACACACAAACTCACTCTCCTGCTGGTAATAGCTTATCCAAAGTGACCACTGTCCCTACAATGTGCATGATAATCAAGGTGGGCCATTTCCAGCACAAATCCAGGTTTTCTCACCCCCCCACCCCCATACACACACAAACTCACTCTCCTGCTGGTAATAGCTCATCCAAAGTGACCACTCTCCCTACAATGTGCATGATCACTTTGGATAAGCTATTACCAGCAGGAGAGTGAGTTTGTGTGTGTGGTTTTTGGAGGGGGGGTGGGGGGGTGAGAAAACCTGGATTTGTGCTGGAAATGGCCCACCTTGATTATCATACACATTTTAAAGAGAGTGGTCATTTTGGATGGGCTATTACCAGCAGGAGAGTGAGTTTGTGGGGGGGGGGCGGAGGGTGAGAAAACCTGGATTTGTGCTGGAAATGGCCCAACTTGATGATCACTTTAGATAAGCTATTACCAGCAGGAGAGTGGGGTGGGAGGAGGTATTGTTTCATGGTCTCTGTGTATATAATGTCTTCTGCAGTTTCCACAGTATGCATCCGATGAAGTGAGCTGTAGCTCACGAAAGCTCATGCTCAAATAAATTGGTTAGTCTCTAAGGTGCCACAAGTACTCCTTTTCTTTTTGCGTGTTTTGACAGGTTTCAGAGTAGCAGGCAAGTTAGTCTGTCTTGTTGCATGTTTTGTTTTATTTGCTCAGTAATCTGCTTTATTCTGTTTGCTACACTTTTAACCACTTAAAACCTGCCTTTTATAGTTAATAACGTTTGTTTTGTTTGTTATTAAACCCAGATTCTGTAATTTCTAAGGGGGGAGGGAGAGTAGTTGCGCATATCTTCCTCCATACTGAAGGAGGGGCCGAATGTACGAGCTTACGTTGTACAGATTTCTCTACAGCGCAAGACGAACCTTTGGGTCTACACTCCAAGGGAGGTGGACACCTGAGTGCTGGGGCAAGTCCCTTAAGCTGAGTCTTCCCACAGCTGATCTCAGTGTCTGTGTCTTTGGGAGGCGGGGTGTGTGTCTGTGCACACGCACTAGAGGAGGCTTAAGAGCCTGGCTCAGCAAGACAGGTTAAGGGGGTCCCATGCTGGCAAAACTGGTGGGCTCAGTGGTATCTCAGCACATCAGGTGGCATCTTGAAGGGGCAACCTGTCATAGGTATGATGGCAACAGCTTGTGCTAAACTGCATGTATTAAGAGAGAAGTTCCACAGGCAGCAATTATCTACTTAGCCATGTGATGCTGTGATTAGAGATGGGTCCA